TGTTCCGTATGCAATTGCTTTTCTTTCTGCACAGTGAAGAGTTTTTGCATGACGAAATGGGTAGTTGCTACACCTCCAATCATACTCTTCATCTTTGAATATCAAAAACTGAACTTTAGGGCAAGCGTAGTCATCCAAATTAATAATCTTTGTTTCCAAAAATTCTGACAGAATCTTTTATTTTTCATAACCTTTTGCAAAAAATTCCGTTTCTGTGGCTTCTAGATTTTTCAATATTTTTTCAATATTGATTCCATGAAGATGCTGTGTACGCCAAAAAGATTGGGATGTTGATTTGAATTTTTTGGGAGGAAGGAAGGAATATCCTTCTGTTTGTCCATCCTTATAAACTCCTAATTCTTTCGCTATATTGCTTTCGATACATTCAATATCCAAAACAACTAGACTCATTCTGTTAACTGTTTTCTCTGGAGTTTTTTGTTTAAAATGATTAACAATCAAACAATGCATATACTGATGAAGCAAATATTTTAACATTTAAATAATCCAGTCACGTGACCAAGAAAGCATGAACTGGGGAGACTAGGTGCAACATAACAATACCCAGGACATTTTTGTCTAGTAGATTTCGCAGATCCAGCACAGTCATGTAGAATTGCATGTAGTCTAAAAATTTTGGAGTTAGCAAAAAAGTAATCCATTCAGGAATTTCCGTATTCAATTAGTCCTCCAAAAGGAAATTTTTAGTCCATTTCTTTTAAATTCATGTCCGGGTCCAAAACAATACAGGCACAAAGAAATAAATTTTTTCTTTTTGTATTTGATGAGAAATCTTGCCTAATAATCTCAAAAGTTCTTAGAATTTCATTCATTTTCTGTACGTTCATTTTCTACAGTGCGTTCGTCAATAATGATACAAGATTTTTTGAAGGTCTCTAGATAACCTAGTAATGAAGGAAGCATATCAAGTAATTTATCATATTCTTCACTTTATAGTTGTAAAGATTGATTATTTTTCCATTGATTTCCATTTCTACGATATTCTACAAGATCTATTTTTTTGGTATCAGATCGGTATCCTATGTGAATTTTTTTTTCTACCATTATGCAGAGTCCACCCAAAGTGAGATATTTGTGAGTCTACGTCCAAATTCTGCAAGTTTGGTAAATTTTGTGATTTCATAATTGTTAGTGAACTTTTTGGGACTTCTCTTCTAGAAGAATATGAAAAAGTCCCAATTTCTTGAAAAACCAATATTCCAACTCATACTGTTCAACATCAAAACTAAATGAAAAATGATTTTGAGGATAAATAGTTAAATTACAAGACAAAAAACATAAATAACACAAATTATTGTACATTACAGTTCTCAACAAACATAAAGTCTCCCTAAATTTGGGACAGTTTTTTGAATTCGTTCAAAGTATAGTTGACATAGGCAACTTGTTTCATTGCTTCATTCTCTTTTGCGGTGAACAGTCGAATCTGAATATAGGGAGGTTTGTTAATATTGTACTTCTTGATCGTGACACAAACTTGTCTTCTATTGTATGTTGCTATGTCATACACTTTGTTGCAGTTGGCAAGCTCCTGATCCATAGTTGACTCTTTGTCAGAAGTGAGTTCCAATATAGGAACGAGTCCAAGGTTTTGAGCATCGTGAATAACAGTATTTCTAATTGCTGAGATTGCTTCTTCTTTTTCACCAAGATAGACTTGCTGTCTTTTTTCGAGTTGTCCCAACTCATTTTTCTTGAATAGTTGAAAGCAGGGTTCAAAATAAGTTTTCCCTTTGTAGGATTTTTGGGACCAAGCAAATCTCCCAATTCTTGTTTGATTTTTTGAGAATTCAATGTAATAGTGTCTTTTCTTGTATATTTTTGAAGAACAGACTGATCAGATGAAGAGAAATGAGAGAAATGATTTTGAGATTAAATGAAATTGGAAGTAAACAATATGAGTCATTCACTGAACCATAAAAGGAAATAGAACTATAATTGGAATTTTTGAGAGAAATTTCCAAATATGGAATTGTGTAGGTGTTAGTGTTCCTATATAAATCCACAATTCTCAGCAAAATTCATTGTTCCAGATGGCTGCAGCAATGTGTCAAGCTCTTCCCAGCTTTTATTCAGAGTATTGTCAAAAATCGCTATTTATTTCCGTTTCCAGTGATTTTTACGAAAAATATATAGTAGCCAATAATTTTTCTGTCTCTACCCACATTTCTTACTGTTCTTTGGAAAATTGTAAGTTCCACATACTTCTGATTGGTTCATCTTTCGATCAAATTTTACAACGATTGGGTAATTTTCATTTCACATACCAAATTATCGATTGTCTTTACACTCTGTACAAATACAGATTTTATTCGAATGTTATTTCATCAACTGGCGAAGTTTTCAATCAACTTGATCGTGCTGTTCCTCACAATTTGAAATGGAAAGGAGCAGAAAAAATGCCAAGTGTTGCAAAGAAAAGACTGTTACGCAAAAAATGCAAAGGTCACTATTTATGTTCTAACCAGAAACTAGCTTCCACACAAACAATTGGTTCAGCTTTTCTAGAAAGAGTTCGTAAAGTACAAAACTCAAAATATGAAAATGATTTGTTAAAAAAAATTGACTGTTTTATTGATGGTTATGGATTTGTAAATAATGATCATGTCAATTTTTCAATAAAAAACTTCTGATAATCCATATATTTTCTCTCATATGTTTACGAAATTACCATTAATTACCGAAAAAAAATCACTGTTGTCAGAAACATTTGCAAAAAGTTTTTCAAACATGTAAGAAAGATGTAATATTTCTTTTGATTTTCAAGAAGTTGCAAAAAAACATTTCAATTTTTTTAACAAGTTGTAAAAAGTGTTTCAATTTTTTTGACAAAATGCGAAAAGTGTTTCAACTTTTTTGAGAAGATGCGAAAAGTGTTTTACTTTTTTTAACAAGATGCGAAAAGTGTTTCACTTTTTTCCTACAAATGCGAAAAAGGTTTTACTTTTTTAACAAGATGCGGAAAGTGCTTCACTTTTTCACTACAAATGCGAAAAATGTTTGACTTTTTTCGACAAAATGCGAAAAGTGTTTTACTTTTTTCGATAAAATGCGAAAAATGTTTTACTTTTTTCAATAAAATGTGAAAAGTGTTAAGTGTTTCAATTTTTTCCTACAAATGCGAAAAAGGTTTTACTTTTTTAACAAGATGCGAAAAGTGCTTCACTTTTTCACTACAAATGCGAAAAATGTTTGACTTTTTTCGACAAATTGTGAAAAGTGTTTTACTTTTTTCGATAAAATGCGAAAAGTGTTTCAATTTTTTCGACTAAATGCGAAAATTGTTTCAATTATTTCGACTAAATGCGAAAAGTGTTTCAATTTTTTCGACAAAATGCAAAAAGTGTTTTACTTTTTTCAATAAAATGTGAAAACTGTTAAGTGTTTCAATTTTTTCTACAAAGGGCTAAAAGTGTGTACAAGATGCAAAAACCATTAGGTAACTTTTTACTTGTGTACAGCTTTTCTAGTGTTTTTTCCGAATATGTGTGCAAAAATTATTCGAGTTTCTTAAAATATGTGCCAGTTCGGAGCACTAAATTAAGTTCTGTTGTTTTTCAGTGGTTTACCCTGAACCTCTCATCTATTCACATAATTAATATGAAATTGAAGAAAATAGTTAATTACAGAAAACGAAGTCAATACCAAACAACATTTATTTACAAAAACATTTAATCAAAGAGCTGTCGTGCAGCAGAAGAGTTCTGGAGGTTCTCTATAGAACGCAGAGCTGGACGAGGTTCCATTGCTAGTGGTTGTTGTGGAAGAGTGTTTTGAGGTGTCATTGTTTTTGAGAAACCCTCATCTTCATCTATTGTGATTGGGTTTTCGACTGATCCTGTCTCCTTCCAAGGAAAGAGGAAGTCGTCGACTGGTTGAGCTACAAATCTTGAGTCCGGAATCTCGGGATAGTTCATTCCCACATGATCAGAAACTTCCTCCATCATTTGCATTGTTGCAAGTTGGTTCTCTGTGATGGGAACTTGCATCATATGATGTTGGTTGAAATCCCTTTGCATCACTTCCACCATGTGCCAGACTAGGATTGGGATGTCCATTCGTGCCAGAAAAACTCCAGATACTGTTTCTCGCATTTGAATTTGTACTAGATCAGGCGAAAATTCTACAGAGTACATGAGGTTGCTGTTTTGCACTGAGAAGATCATTTTGAGCTATAAACTGAGTTAAAGAGTAAAAACAAGAAAGAGCTGATAGAAGGGTAGCTGACGGAAGATAAGTTGAAATTAAGGTATTTAGAGCTGAGAGAGGAGGTAGTTGACGGTAGTTAAGTTGAAAATAAAATGATTTTTAGTAGGGAGTTAGGGGTACCTTCAACTCGAATGTGTGGGTTTGACCAATCAGACTTGATTTTCCTTAGTTGGATTGAAGTCGTGTCCAATCAGATTTCAATTTCTTTTTATGCGATTCTTGGATAAAAGTCGAGTCCAATCGGAAACAATTTTTTTCATCAAGTTAATTGAATTTTTTGTATGTAATCAATGAGAAATCAAGTCAAGTTCTTTGATTTTGATGTAAATTTGGGAGGAGTTGATTGAAAGTTCAAAAGATTTATTCGCAGAATGTTCAACTAGCAAAATGTGCCAAAAACGAGAAAAATATATTCTCTAGCAATTGAGCATGGTGTATTGCAATCAGAAAAAAATTTCAGATAAACCAGATAAATCCTTGGTAGTTTAAAAAAAGAAATAATAATAAAGTATCAGCAATTAAATTATCAGCTAAATCAACTTTTTTTAATCTATTCATCTTATTCAAGCAAGTGAAGATCGACTAGAAGAAGAATGATAAAAATTGACTTCACTCAACATATCAGAAAAACACAATTAAATTACATTGAGATTTGCAGGTTAATGTTGACCCAGGGTATGCGTTGGACTTTTTGGATTTTTTCCAGACAGCGACTCATTTTGAAATAACATGATTGAAGTTGTGTATGTGAGTTGTTCATGTGTCGTCAGGTGTGGAGATGACTCATTGTCACTTGAGGGACCTCCTGTATGACACAGATTATACAGTGCGGGTGAGGGCTGTAAACAGCAGTGGCCACAGTGACTACAGCGACTCAATCATACTACGCACTGGCACTCCGCCCATCCAGTTTGCACTGGACAACAACACTGCTCATGTCAGTTTGAAGGTAAATTTGAATTCTAGTTACTGTAGAGAGAGCTGTAAACAAGTGGAACAGAATGAATTAATTGCGAATATCAAATATCTATTTTAAGAAATGCGTCCAAAAGCTCATTCTGACAGAATTTGTTTTGAGGTCGCCTGGAATTTCAAATTTGCACGCAAAGTTCCTCTTCATTTTAGAAAGATGGAAAGAAAGAATTTATTTCTCCAAAGTTATAATAAAACATCAAAATAGACACAGCATCAAAATAATTAACTCGGAGAGGATAGACAAAAGGTACATTGAGCGCCCACTTATAGTCTACCCGGTTTACATCAACAATTCAGGTTATTTAAACAAAATAATGATAAAAATAAAATATATTTTTGATTTTTTGATATTTTCATTAAAAAGGCGATATTTCGGATATAAGAAAACTATTGGGGGCAGTCCTTCTATTGAAGCACTGTCACCGTTGTTAGAGGATATATGTTATTGTGGAGAAAAAAAACAGCGTTTTGCCTGTTTCAACTTTGGATTAGTGACAAATTTATTGCCTGACGTTGCTCTAGCTGTCAGGACATCCCAAATTCTTACTATATCGGAACCTAAAGCAACTCGCCGACATTACCGATCGATCCTTCAAATTATTTGGTCAATTTATTGTGAGATGTGTAATAATTTTGCCCGCATTAAACATTGCTGTCATATACAGTGGCCGTGACTTTTCGCCTTTTCAGTGTTTCAATGCAATCAGTCAACCTCAGCTTTGTCAAGGTCAAGGAAGTTGTTATGTAGTGTCAAATTGTCAACATCAACGACCTGCAGTTTTCAATTAACCTCATAAAACTCTGCGGAAAAAATTCTGAATTTATATCCTAGTTCCCCACACTGGTATAAAATGAAACGGCTGCTTACACCTTCGAGCTAGCACGAACCTTCTTTTTTTCTAAACTAACTCGCAAATATAAGTTTTCATTACTTGGTGGCACTTTTGCTAGAATCACAATCTGTAGCATTGGAACTTTCATAGCATCTGTTCTGTTTTATCTGAGTCTAGTGATTGCGATTAATTAAGCGTCCGTGGGTCTAATTTGGGTCTTTCGAAGGAAACATTGTTTATATGCTTTCTTCCGGATCGCACAAGACGCTAAAAGTCTCAGAATCTATTCTATTGTATATTTAAATGCGGGCTTCTCTATCTCGCGATGTTTAAGCTTTTTCAACGTATTATTTTTGCATGTTTCAGCTATATCGTATATTGCAATGGTTAAGAATTTTTTTTTTCGATTTTCCAATTTGATTTTAGTGGTTACTTTACGGAGTTTAAATTAAGCAGCCCAATATCGAATTAGGGGTTGCGAATTTGGCCTCCAATTTTGAATGCCCGAATCATTTTACTTAACGAGATAAGAAGATTTTTGAGATTTTTTTCAGAAATTTTAGAACATTTTAAATAACAAATAATTTACAAAACTTGAAGTTCCCAACCCTATAGTTGGGTACTGTCAGAGTATTCTAAGGAATTACAAATCTTGCTTCCAAATATGACTGTTCAAATCCTTGTAGTTTTCGAGATATGACGTTTTTTGTGATTTTGTCAAAAAAAATTCCAGAAAACTTATATTAGTTTTTTTTCCAAATCTGAAATTCCCAACCCTGTAATTGGGTCCTGTCGGATTACTCTCAAAGATTGCGAATTTTGTCTTGCAATATGACTGCTCAATTCTTTGTAGTTTTCGAGATACGATGTTTTTTGTAATTTTTTTAAAAAAGTGTTCAGAAAATTTTAATTAAATATTTCTCAAAGTTTGAAATTCCCAACCTTATAGTTGGGTGCTGTCAGAATACTCTATAGAGTTACAAATTTTGCCTCCAAATATGACTGCTCAAATCTTTGTAGTTTTGGAGATATGACATTTTTGATTTTTTTCAAATATTTTCAGAAAACTTGAATTATTATTTTTTAAAATTTGAGTTTCCCAACCCTGTAGTTGGGTACTGTCAGAGTACTATCAAGGATTGCGAGCCTTGCCTCCAAATTTGATTGCTCAAATCCTTGTAGTTTTCGAGATATGATGTTTTTTGTAATTTTTTTAACAAATGTTCAGAAAGTTTTAATCAAATATTTCTCAAAATTTGAAAAAACCCAACGTTGTAATTGGGTGCTGTCAGAACACTCTATGGAGTTAATAATCTTGCCTCCAAATATGACTGTTCAAATCCCTGTATGTTTCCAGATATGACGTTTTTTGTGATTTTTTCAAAAAACTTTCAGAAAATTTATCATTTTTTTTTTCTCGCAAAGTCTAAAATTCCCAACCCTGTAGTTAGGTCCTGTCAGAGTACTCTCAAAGACTGCGAATCTTGCCTCCAAGTATGACTGCTCAATTCTTTGTAGTTCTCGAGATATGACGTTTTTTTTGATTTTTTCAAAATTTTCAGGAAACTTAAGTTAATGTTTTTTCGCAAAATCTGAAATTACCAACTCTGTAATTGGGTGCAGTCAGAGTACACTAAAAGTTTGCAGATGTTGTTTCCAATATATGCGGTTTTTCATGATTTGTTGAAAAGTTTCGAAGCACCGAGTTTCGTTAAACGCTAGTAGAATTTGTAGTTCAGTTTTTCATGACAATAGTTTCATTTTTGCTCGGTAATTGTTTCGGAATTTTCATCAAACGCCGTCGAATGTGTTTTTGGACATGTTTTCGGCAAATAGAGTATCATTCCAGACAACATTTCGAAGTTTTTTTAGATGTGGTTTTTTCGAGAGCTATTAAGGCCGTTTTATTTGGACTTAGTGGCTCTCCTTTTCTTTCCTGTCTGCTAGCGTGTAATGCTATTTTGTAGCATCGCAAGTAATGTGAAGCTACGCTTTGCCGCTGTGTTTTAAAATCAGATCAAAAAGAAAATGAGGTGAACTAAAGTGCGAATTTGATTGCTGTTTTATACTCCACGGAAAAAGAATTGTAGTGTTTTTTTTTAGAGAGGAAGCAGTTAGAATTCTTTTTTTAAATTTCAGATTACTGGCAACACAGCGCAGTAAGACAGAGGGGGTGCTAAGAGTAGACTGGGACAGTTAGGGGAGGACTGCTTCCTGGGGGCCTCCTTCTCTGTTTTGGGAGACAAGAGCGTGAACAAGGGCAAGCACTACTGGGAAGTGAAGGTGAAGGTCAAATCAACAGACAGAATAGGTCAGTTTGTTCTTTCAATTTGGCGCTCTATTCTCCTTAATCATCGTAGAGCTCTGCGCAAGTTAAATTTAAACTCGTTTAATTCATCTTCTGAGCTAGCGAAACTTGATTCACTGTGTTTCAGTTCACTTCGGAATTAGACTTCAAACTGTGTTCAGATTATTTTTAGTTTAAAACAGTTACTGCATATATGAAAAGTATCAGTCATGGTTGATGTTTTGTTCAGGTGTGGCTTACCTGAACACTCCTCGCGATAGTCTAATCGGGGACTCAGACAAGTCCTGGGCGATTGGGTTCCTCGCAAACGAAGAGGGACGACTCTTCTGCTACCACAACAAGAAGAAAAAACAACTCAATATCGAGCTTCCATCATCTTCGCCTCCTCTGAAATCGGTCACAGTCGGAACACCTTTGGATCTAAATGAGAACTTTGTGGCGTTCTTCATAACAGAGTTTCACCAGCACATTCACACATTTAAGGTCAACTTCACAGATCCAGTTTTTCCAGCATTTTCAGTCTGACCAAATGACGTCACAATTTCTTCTGGACTGCAAGTGCCAGATTTTCTTTTGGTGTGAGCTACGAGGCAGGGGTCGATTAGAAGTTGAGCTTTTGCATTCATAGGGATATTTTCAGTGCTATAGATTTAATATGTAGCGCAGTAATCATTTTAAATCTGAGCGAGATAGTTTAGAACAAATGTATAGAACTTATCAACCTTCATTAAGTTCACGCAGTTTGCTCTTTGTCTAATAGAGTGAACTGAAATTGCAGCATGTCCATTGTGGTAATTAAATGTCAATCAACGTAGTGATGACACTTATAGAGGGTGAAATTTTTTCTGAATAAAATTAGGCTGGGGTTTCAGGAGCAACAGACTTCAAGTCAAAATTTCGATAAAAGATCGGGACCACTCTCATTATATTTGTTGGCTATTAAAGCAAAACCTTGTCGTTGAAATCGTTGCACGGCTTTCTTTTTTCAACTTGTTTCAAAGAATGTTCTTCTGCCTTTAGCACCTCGTTTTTGGGTCTTTTGCATAGTATAACACTCATAAAGACTAAGTTTTTGCGCTAACTACCTTATCGGAATCATTTTTTTTCAATAATCATTGATTTATGATACGGCGCTAACCGTTGTATCGGAATCAAGAATTTTTGTTTAATCAAGGATTGTCATTCGTTGATCATACGTTTTGTAGCAGTAACAAGGTTTTGTGTTTATTTCACGAAATTAGATAAGTTAGCTGCAAGCTTTTATTCAAGATATTGGCGACCAACTGATAAGGTCTGTTCAATTTAAATTTCCTCGGTTAACTAATCAAAATTACGGCTCTTTTCATCGCTGTTTCTATACATGTCATAAAATCATGACAAAAACGGAAGTGAGTTAGGTATGAGGCGTATAACTGATAGAGTAATTTCGGATAGGGTACACCGTGTGCTCGTCACGCTATCTTATTTTCGGCCGGATAGATTCGTGCAACTTCTTAGTCTAATACCGATCCTAATCTTACTCTTATATCTACTAGTCTCAGGGTGTTTAACTAGTCTCTGCTAGGCTCAAATAGATCTAGAGTATACTGGTATTATTGCGGCTGCTGAAGTTCTCGAGGAGAGGTAACTAATCTCTAAGTTAAATTCAAATCTCTCTGGTGCTGAAATTACAAGTAATTTCAGCACTTACAAATAAGTGGGTTGTTAGTTGGATGGATTGTGATTGGTTAATATTAAATATTTTACAGTGGTAAAATATCTAATTTATAAATAATAAAATGTAGTTTAGATCAGGTTCCAGAAGTTTAAATTGTCCATTCGACTTTAACAAATCGTGCCCAGCGCCTTTTCTTTTGTCATTAATTCTTCGGGTCTCATGAGGTATGTCAATACCCTTGTCATGTCAATACTCTCTTTAAACGAGGTATGTCAATACCCTCCATACCAAAATCTGGTAAAATTACCTCTTCGCCTCCCCATGTCTTCTTACCATTGGGCTGACTTAGTTTTTTCACTTAGTGGGTAGAAAGTAAGATTAATTTCGATGAGTCATGGAGGTAGTATGTATGATCCCATCAATTGCTTTTGTTTAGATTTTTAACTTTGTTTCTGGGGTCATATACAGTGACAAAGCTTAAAAAAGCAATAGATGGGATGACACAGCCTAATTCCAAATGGTTGTCATTAACTGAGCTCTCCTCTCTTTCGTCGTCATCTTTGTTGATTATTTCGATAGATTCTAAATGGTAGTCATTATCGTCTCCAATAACGAAGCTCTCATCTTTTTCGTCGTCATCTGGGTCGATTATTTCGATGGCTTCACCAGTTGCATCCATGGGGTCTTCATCGGATAGTATCGCAGGGATTCTGCAGTCAATGGTGCTAAGTTTGTTACTCAGAGAATTTTCGAGTTTTTTCGTTGTGGGCGCTGTTCCGTGTCTTGCTCGGCTCTACCGCAAAATGAGTTGCGACAACTGACCTCGAATGCTCTTTTTGGACATCAATCGCTCTTATTTGCTTTGGATCTGCAATGGTTTCCGTCCAATGAAAGTTAATTGTTTTAGCTTTTTCTTGGAAGCAACTAGCGCAATGGTTCTGACTGTGGACGTTTTTGTTGCTGTTTTGAGCCTGTTTTCTAACTCTACTAACTTGATGTCGAGATTTTGTAGATTGAATGGACAGAACAAAAAGGTCTTGTCGTTTGGACCGTGTAATTTTAGCATTGTCATATGATGATGATGCCCATAGTTCAGCTATCGTACTTGTTTGCGCACCAGCTCATAAGAATTAGCAATTGAATAAGATTATGCTGGATTAAACGATAATCTGCAGCCTCTGCATTTCCTGCCATCATTTTACTTCAGTTCCCCAAATTTTTTTTTGGGTAGTTTTAAGTGATCGTTTAGGTCATCCACACTTGAATCTTTGGGAGGTCTCACAATCCAGCAGTAATTTCAATGCAGTCGGACAACCTTCACAGCTTTCGATCGATGCTTTGCGCGGTAATTACAAATCGCTCAGTATGGTTGTGCGCTAATTTAAAAGTTTCGAGACTCTTCAATAACGTCTGAGAAGAAACACGATTATCGCAGATGGAGTCAGTTGATGTTTTTTTTAATTTCTTAGAGAATGCTGCAATTGTCGACAATTCTGTCTTTTTGAGCTGAGGTCAAAAACAGTACAACAGGTTTCATTACGTTAGCAATACTTGTGTAATTCGGACAAAACGTTGGGTAGTAATATAGGGTCCTGTCTACTTTCTATCTTAGAAAGTAAATCTAAAATTTGCTAGAAAATATTTTATTAGAAAAGAATTTAGTACGATTTTACTACAAGTTGCCTTTAGACTCGATGAATGTTTTAAGGGTTGGTTTTGGGATGTTTTTGGTTGAAAATGGTTGGTTGTTTCCAAGAGAAGGGTTGGAGTGGTTTAAGAAAATATGTTGGAATGAGTCTCAGTAGTTTTCAGCTTCTATTTATACTTCATTGCGAAATTTCCCAATTTGTTATAGCAAATAGGAAGTTACTTTTCAACTTCGTTATCTCTCTTGATAGTCATTCTTACATTAGTTTTTTACGAGTAGAGTCGTTCGTACGTTCGTATTTTACTAGTAGAGTCGTTACTATTCGTTTTTCATGAGAAGAGTCTTATTTACCAATACTTTAACCGTTATACGAGTTATCTCAAATACTTTAAGTCTTCAATTTATTTTGCAAAGGGATGTAAACAGACTGATTATATTGTGGCGGCGGCGTCACGCTTTGTGAACACAATAAACTCTATATTTCTGTCTATTCTATGTTTCGATGACTTTGTGTATGTTTTTTTTTTAAGTTCCCGGATCTGATGGGTCTCATTAATGTGACTCCGTTGTATCTGTTCGGTATATTCATCCATCTGGGGGGTTTGCATTTTTGCTTTTAAACACTTCGCGGGATCATAGTTTTTGGTGATCAAAGAGTGAATTTGTTATGAAGTACAGTTTCCGTATTGGATGGTAAGCTTCCAATTTGAAGTAATTTATCAGAGGATTCAACGCATAATTCAAAACCATGTCAAATCCTGGGTTGGTGTTGAGGAAATATGGTGCTCTTTGTCCAACTGAATATGCAATTGTCTATTTAGTTAAGTAGGATGCAAGAGCTGTCACCTAACTGTCATTACTGTGTGGAACCTGGTACCGGCGAGTTAGCTGTTTATACCTGATAGGGTCGAACTATTTGGGTTCGTTTCTCAATGCGAGAATTATAAGGAACCAGGTGTATTTTGAAATTAGGAGGGCAAGTTCGCAGGGGTGAACAAATCTCCGTCGTCGTACTGAAACCAATACAGAGAACATTAATCAAAAAAATCTAATAAAATTGCAAACCGCAATGAGAATGACACGAAACTTAATTAATGTATACACCCTTCATCCATCATATAACTACTAAACACTGGAAATTAATATTCATATGGCTCTAAAATTTAACGCCAATACTGTTTGGAGCACTGAAGTTGTGGAGGAACATTGGAGTCGGACATTTTTAAGCCCAAATTTAGGTACCAATGTGAAGAATAAAAAAAGGTCTGGTTCAACAGGAACGGAAAATGCGTCATCGAAAAGCAAGTCCTTTGAACGATCTTGATCCAGGAAGCAGAGAATTCGATGAATGGGTCACTAAAAACCATATGATGTTACCGAATTATTTGCTGGATCAAATTGGTATCCTCATACAAAGCAGAAAACAGGTCTACGAGAGTTGTTGTGTGACTGAATCGTATCCTGCTCTGAAGCGCACAGCTATTCAAGACCCTACTTGCCTTGATCGTTCACCGAGAAAAATACTGTTTAACTACGATTGCCAATCGATCCCCTTCTACGAAAATCAGGAAGGATCCATTAGAGGTTTAGCAGAGCGAGAAACTTACTGGAACATTGAGTCGATTGAATCACCAGATTCAACAGAAAAAAAGATGAGGACCAGCAGACGCCCAAAACCCCCATTAAACCGGATATTTTTCCAATCACTCAACAACAGCAGCAGCAAACTTCTGCTTCTTCTTCCAGCAGTCAAAGTCCCACTGCACCAACCTTAGTAACTGAGACACCGCCTATCAATGCTTGCTATTCGCCGAAAAAACGCAAACTGCAATTTAGAGATCTCTGAAAACTCAAAAAAAACTTTGTTTCCACCGAGATTGCACCAGTTTGGGGGTTTATTATTTAGTTTGATTAGTTTTAAATATTGTGGCTGAATCTTTGTTTATGTTTTGTTTTTGATTTTTCTAATTTAATGTTTGCTCTGTAACTTTTTTTTTCAGAAATCTTTGAAAGAATAAAACTAAACAAAAAGAAACAACTTTAAAATTTTTTTTTGTTTGAAAAAAAAATTAAGTTTCAAAACTTTGTTGAAAACAAATACTGGTATCAAAAATTATCCTCTGGTTTCGACCATTAGTAGGTGATCAACGTAGCTAATGAATGTTTGCCTGTATATGCAACACTTAACATGTTATTTCTGTTCAAAACCGAAACCAGAAAAAGTTTGCAAAATTTCGTGTTTTTTTTGTCCAAAAATTGTCGAAAATTGATTTTGTGAACTGCAACTTTATCCCATACTGTTGCTATAATGATATTACAGCTGATGAAACCCGCAGTGCCTTGATACGACGCTTTTTGAAATGTAATTTTTGAGAAAATCGAAATTCGTTTAAATTCATCGTTGGATAAGTGTCGTTCACTATGAAGGCGTGCTCAGAAATGGATGAAACCAATTTTTTTTAGACTC